TTTACCTTGCTTAGATTTCAAAACTACGTAATCTAGTAAAGTTAAAGAAGAATTCCAGAACCGATTTATTTCATTTTTAAAAGCAGATGCAATTTGATAAATTATCTGATTTCTTCTCCAATCCAAAAATGTCTTCTGTCAACTTGCAGAAGAAATGTTTTTTCTAAGGATCCTGTGGTCAACTCTCTCTTGTATGACTACTTGCATCATTTCAAAGCTGAAGTTGTCAGCCCAAGGCTAGACTGAACTACTTCTGTTTTATTTAAGGTTAAGGGGTTTTAGATCCACTTCATTTCACAGCCTTTATGAATTGTGCAGTTACCAACTCAGTCCTCAGAAGTACAAAGTGCCAAATATTTTGAAAGAGCCGACAGGGCTGCTACCTCTTTACGTTACCTGCTTGCTGAACAACACTGCACTTAAGTTTTTTCTTTATCTAGCTATCAAGGCATGTTACTGCATCACTACACCTTGTCATTTTCATTTGTCCAGCTTCTATTAGAGACACCAATTGTCATGAAACTCTCTCTTCAGTGTGCCTAAATTCTTCAATTATATTGAACAAGAAGCATTGGCCTGAGAATGGCCAGTCAGAACACAGGCACCAAAACCTGGACTAAAATTTAAGCATTTCAGTCCCATGAAGAGGGAGCCTTGAAGACTCCTGTGAATCTTTCCTGCAGCCAAACATGGCTGGTATTTAGGTTTTCATCACTGAAGCCACCCAAGTGCCCAGAGTCTGAATAATGCACATGGCTGCTGACACTTGGGCCCAGCGGAGTGCCTTAGTATTTTGAACCCGCCTCAGATATACAAATTTACCCTATGAAGAGCATTCAGGTTTAGCATACAAGAGTGTCATGCGTTTTGCTCAGGGACTGCAGAGCCCAGAAGCCAAGCGCTCCCCCCAAGAGATACACTCGGTGCACTACAGAGTCACACTGGCTCTAGCTCCTTCCTTTTCAGCCCTGTTAAGCTTTCGTTCTTACCTGCTTGCACATCCTCTGTATATCTATCTGCAGGCCTACAATTCAGGATTTTGAAGCCAAAAGGTGGCACAACACCTACAAATTAGTGGTGCAGAGCTTGCTTAAGCTCCTGTTACATCCCGGTAAGCACCAAAGATTCAGTCCTCCTCTCAAAATTCAGTACAAGGCCACTCAAGAACAACTTTCTTATGACTTACAGGTAAAATTAACAACACTCTCTGAGCTATTTCTATCAAAAGACAACTAAAAAGTAAAGAAACTCTGTGCAGACTTCAAGCTTCTCTGGAAGCCAAGCTATTATGAATCTAACAAATTAAATTAACTTCCCAATAAGACAGAAGATGAATTTAAAGAGTTAATTGTTATCTGCCCTTACTGACTCTTCAATGAGCAACTCATGACATCATTGGAATTCTTATAAACGAATCTAACATCCTTTCCTTGCACTGTTCTGTTTTGGTTAGTATTATGAAGGTACCAATAAGGTGGCAACTCCTTCTGAGACACTGGAATGCACAGGACTAAATTTTAAAGAAAGTATAGAGGAACTAACTTTTAAAAAAGCATAAAACCTAGTACTTAATGCACAATCACTTGGAAGTTAATGCCATTCCTTTCTTTCTGAGCTAAGACTTTCACAAAGCTTTCTTCTCCTTTTTTGAATTTTAAAAAAGGATACTCATCGCTCAAAACTATGCTACAAGAACTAATGGTCCTAATTAAGATTTCTAACTCAGAAATGAAGGTTTTTTGGCAGAGAAAAGTATGAATACCTAACTCCATACATAGCTTCCCAGTGAAAAGAGTCAGCTATTGCTATCAAGCTATTTTAAAAGGCGAGACCATCTGCATTACTTTTGAGCATTCTAAGGAACTACTACATAATTGAGGATACGGGTATTTATTCTTCGCAGTTGCACCCAGAAACCATAACCAAGGCTCTACAAAGCACCACACACTGGGTGTATTTTGTAGGTCTGCAGTCTAAATCAAGACATTAAATAAAGTGGAAGGAAAAACAAAATAGAAGAGAGAGAGAGAGCGATATTATGCATCCAAGGTTACCAGCAGACCAGCAAAAGGGGAACCAAGTAGGTGAAAAATGTGCTTGAGGAGAGAAAATAATTATCACTGCGCAACAGAGGCATCTGTGTTTTCTTGTCTGTGAAGTCTGATAAAATGATGGCTTCAGCAGAGCTCACTGGAAATAGCTTAGTATTGCTAACATAAACACAGACTAGTTGCTGCAGCTGGACAGAAAAAGTACTATACAGTTCTGACTAAAAAAATATTAGTTTTAAGTTAGATGAGGAAGAGACAGTGTCTTCCAGTTCACACGTAATATGCACAGCATTTCTTGCAAGATGATGTAAGACTCCAGGGAGTGGGCTTTTCAGAGGTTATTTCCAAATCAAGGAGACACTTGCCACTAAGACCTAGAAATATGAAAACATGCCCAATTTCTCTAAATACACCAAAAGACTGTAATAAAGTAAGGCTCTTCAAGGGTATCTCAGGCTTGTGTGTGACTGCTGAATCTTTCAAGGAAGCACTTGATTTTAAAAGTTTCAGAAATTAAATATTTTGTACATTTTTTTTTTTGGTAGGTCAGTTTCCTGATATAAGGTAGTTGAGAGAAAGACCTCCAAACATCATGTGGACAAACCTTTTGATATACAGCTCTGTTTTGCATCCAGTGTTGTGAGGCCCTTGCCACTGCAATAATTAATGAACTGCCCACACACTCCTGCATACAAATCGCCACCTTGAATACTTTCCTGGCTGATGTAGTATTTGCTGTGAGGGAACGAAGTGAAAACTTCTACAGTCAGTCGCTCAACTCTTAGAAACAGCTGATTGATAATGCAGAAAAACGTTTAGGAGGCTGCATGCAATACTGCAAACCTCTTGCTGAACCAGGAGATAAAAATCAGAAGCAACAGGCAACAGACGCTGTTGCCCTGAGACTATGCATGGTAACATCTGCTGGCAGCCACCAGAAAGGCAGCTACAGTGGCTTGACGTCTGTGGGCTGACTTTCTACCAAAACCAGAAACCAGAGATACGTTTCCTCATCACTGCTTGCATTATTACACCTGCTTACTAATAGGAAATCGGTGTTTCTTTGATTTTTTTTTTGGTTATGAATTTCTCATACATAGCTGGAATGTTGCTTTCTAGTTTGCCTCTAAATTCTAGAAAAATTAGTTACACAAAATCCTGTCTGTATGTGGTATATGGTCTCATGTTGTGGTCACGAAGGAACACAAGTCCCAGGAAAAATGCCAGGTACTAATCAAACGGGAAATGGTCATTTAGGGTGGATTCTGAGGGCAGCAAAACAGGTTATTTGATGAGCGTTCGGCTTTATTTCTGTTTGTTTGAAATTGTTCTGTAAGAACAAAGAATGCTGGGTGAGTAGGTCCCTACACAAAATGCAAATATTAGAACACTAGAAGAAAGGGATTACATATTTAAGTGTCCAAGCATGCAATTAAAATGACAGTATTTTGCCTTTTCAATAGCTTTACATAGTATCATACTGATTTTGAGAATTACAAAACTTTACAGCAATTAGCATATTCAGTTTACAAAAGGATCGCTAATGTGTCATCTCTTCCTCTTAGACCCTCTGACCAAATAAAGTGTTACCTTTGTGATACTCCAAATAGCACTTAATCAACTTGAAAGACTCACATAGCAGTTTGGAAAAACTGGGGGATGGGGGGGGAAGTCTCTGACTGAAACTATATGGGCAAAAGAATTAGCTAAACTGAAACACAAATAGTTTGCTGAGCTTCACACTATCAAGCTTATGAAATATTAACACATGTTGTCAGAAGCAATATCTGCTTCCATTCAATGAACGTCAGTGTGTACACGCAGGCACAGACAGCAACCTTACTGCCAGAAGAGCTCCTACTCCATGTAGAGAGGTGGGGCAGAACGGCCCCATTCCTCCTACCACTGTCTGTGATTACAGTGTCTTCTTCAGAGCTTTAAAGTCCAGACATGGGCCTGATTTCATCTGGTTTCTACTATAAATCTACACATATGTTACAGAAAACATGCGACACTAAAGTATCGTTATAAGTTAAGTGGAAATAGCATTTACCAAAGCTAGTAAACAGAAGACATAACCTACATAAGAAAAATCACACAGCCAGCCAAGGAAAAGACACAAGTGCTGCCCAAATGGTATCAAATGGTATCTGGTATCGACTAATTTGCTTGCACAAAAGACTTACTCTAAAGCACATTTAAGTGATACAGAGCAAGTGTGGCAACAGTACAGTGTCAGGCATGCAAACTATGTCAAGACATGTATGTCCCACCAGCAGAGACTGCCAAACTGCAATGGGTGAGTAATGCTTAACTTCTAAACTTGCAGTCTTTGAGGAACTTGAAGCCAGACTTGAAACAATGCAGAAGTATTCTCTGCCAACATATTTATCTCAATCCATTAGCAATAATCTCAGATGAAAAACAGGAACTAAAACAAGGATATGAAAGTTCAGTTTACACTTCAACAGGACAGAACCAGGAAAATTCTGTTCTCTATTATGTGGGTTAAAAAAAAGAGAAAAAGCATTCAGTGACGCTCTTTACACCAACATAAAACATGGTAAAATTTGCTAAACTAACCTCCACTTAGAATCTCTATTTCTCTCTGCTCTTAGCTTCAAATCAGTTTATTTAGCTCCAGGCTATTCTTCGGGATCCATAACATCAACAATGATTAAAATAACAAGCAGAAAAAAATCCTAAACATGCTGGATTTTTTTTTTAACCCTTGTAGTGCATTTACAGTGAAAAATATGTGTAGATATCAAGAAGCTACAACTCTGACTTAAAAATAAAGAATTCTCAGCCCATTTTCTATCTTCTTTTGGGGTGGCAAGGAACACCCATTAAGTCGCTGCAATTCTCAAAGTTTCTTATTTTTTTTAAAAACAAAAAACCAAACAAAAATATTCTGTTACTCCTCCCCAGGTCTTGAGAACTACTTACAGTTCCAGAATAAGAATGACATCTGTTTTGTTCTCATAAACATCATGCAGCGTGATCACATTAGGATGTCGAATCTCTTTTAGTATGCCGACTTCTCGCTCGATATCTTCCCGGCTTACTCCACGCCGGCTGGATTTCGTTCTCCGTTTCTTGATGAATTTTGCTGCAAACTGCTGACCAGTGCTTTTCTCACGGCATTTTTTCACTACAGCAAACTGCCCACTAAAGAAAAAAAAAAAAAAAAAAGAGGGAAAGAATGAAGATGAGTGTTTGATTCAAGTTAGTTTAGAGGTAAGAATAGCCTCTATTTACTGCAGTCAGGGAAAACAGCTGTACCTCTGAATTACCAACTCGACTAAAGTACATTACTGCTTTTTATGCCATCTAGAATAATACCTGGAAAAAACCCTAGAGGAGGCAGAAAAGGTAAGTTACGATACTGCTTTTACATCACACAAATGTACATACATACACATTTTAGCATATCCATAAATAAAAGAGAACACCTGTGTAGATTGTTTGATTTTTGACAAATACGTGCATCAGGGAGTACTAGGGAAAAGTAATGGTTTCTGGATTTCTCCTTCCATATGCATGTTGAAGATAAATTTTTTTTTGTTCTGCAGGACAGACAGTCCTTAGTTTCTTCCAATCTATATGATCTGTCAATATTCATTTTAGTCTAACCTCAAGTTTGGTTTTTTTTACGTTTTTAAAACAAGACTGGGTTATAGGGCACTGCTTTGGTTTCTAGTTTTAAAAGCACTGACTAAACACAGTTGTATCCAGAACTACAGTTATCGTATCCTCTTGTTAAGTAGGAAGAGTTTAAAGGTGAGAAAAGTACCGAGGCACTGAGGAACAAGAGCCTGTGATTGTGTTACTAACCAGAAGAAACTCCAGGAAGCTGCTGACTTCAGCATGTTATCATTGACGTGTAAGCCTGTTGCTGCTAGATACGCACACTCATTCAGATAGGAAATCTTCAGGAACCTAAGGCTGAGTTAAAGCAAGAACAGGATTTTTAATACTGCTGAGTTTTCTGAGTAATACTGCTGAGATTACTGCAAGTAATCTCTTGCTAAGGATTCTCTAGCAATTCTGTTCTTGATTTATTTCACTGTACGAAAAATTTGCAGAATTACAGAAGGTACCAATGAGAAAATATTCTGAAGTAAGCCTACCCTGTTAACTGAAGAAGTGGTGCCCCCTAAAGTAGGTTTAGAACAGTGGTTACATCAAAGCTAAACCTAGCAGGCTTGACTTTACACAGTGATGTAACATGTAAGCCTGTGTAATTCCACCCAGCACCTGGCAGAGGACCTAACCTGTACTAGTGATTAATTAATTACAACTGACAGAGAGATCGCTAGGAAGACGGACCACCCGCAAAAAGGGCATCACGTAATGACAAAAGTGCCAAGTGGGAATCACTCAAAGCTACACATCTCATGCATGAACCCAATGCACAATACTAATTTATTACTGGAGAACAAACATGTGCCAAATATGCTGACAAAGTAATTAAGCAATTAAGGAATGCATGACAGATAGAAAATAGAAGATAACTCATCAGCAACAGCATTATGCAATGAATGAAGATAATAAAATGCTGTAAGGGAAAATCACACTTAGGATTTTTGAATTTAGAGAGATGATCAGCTGAAAACACTTTATGCAGCTGGGTCACCACTGCCACCATTACTATGCTGACCCGATACAGAACCCCAAGTGACAAATTCTCTTGAACTGGGACACACAGTTGGGCAAGGCTAAATGACTGTCACCTGCAGAAGGCAGCGCAGAGACGGATCCTCTCCTATGAACTTCCAGAAAGAGACTCTAGAGCAGCCACCACCAGCCAGGAGGCCTTTGAACACAGCCATGGGCAGGTGAGAAAAGTAAGCTCTGAGGGAAGCAGTCAACAGGCTTTTTAGTTTTGAGGTTTGGTTTTATTTCAATGTTATGATCACCATTTGAGTTTCTTTCTTCATGATTTCATGAAATCAGTTTATGAACTTGTGAGATAACTTTACGTTGCATGAAAAAAATCATTGCTCAAATTCCTGCCACCCTTCCCCTCCCACCAACTCTGCACAAAGTTGTCAATGGCCAGGTTCACCAACACGTTGTTTTTACAAACCACAGTGGACAGAGCAGTGATTTAGACCGCACCATATCCTCTTCCCCATTACACGCAGGCTGGAAGACCTGCTTCACTTGCCTAGACTTGGTCAGCTAGTGCTACCTGAGATGCTCTTGGACACCTAAGACCTTCATATGGGGCTGGCAGAAAAGGCACGGGATGTCTGGAAGATCTGTGTCATCCTAAACCGGCAGCAGAGGGCTAGACAAGGTACCCTCAGGCACACCAACCCTCTTTGCTTGGTTCAGTTCAACTCCACAACAACTCTTCCTACAACAGCAGCTCTGGGTTTCATCCCCAAGGTTTGAGCAATTTTGCACTCTGGGACAGCCAGCCAGTGTGGAACATGCACTCAGGTATTCGCACTGCTGCAGAGAAGTGCAAACACAGTCTTCCTGCCCTTGCTTACAGCGGGGGAGAAAGCAGCGATTCTCACTCTCTCCCCCATAATATGCACTTCTCCAGAGAGATATTCAGCTTTATTTAAAAAGCAATCAGCTTCTCAATAAGTTCACAGTTGCAGAGAAAGAAGCAAAGTCAGGCATCATCACAACTCTGAACAGCTACTCAAGCTCACGGACCAGAAGGAAGTAAAAAGCCATTGCTTGCTTTTTGGCCACCTGGCTGGTTTTCAGGCTGGAAGCCTAAACTGCCTGATAAAGGAAGAAAAATATTTCTGCCTATGGTTCATTCACAGGCTTGAATGCTACATGGCTAACCACTTTCTTATGGATGCTCACCTCTTAAGATTGGTAAAAGCTATGGCTTCATTAAAAAAGAAAGAAAAAAAATCCCACGATGCAAACCAACCCAACCCAACAACAACAAAACCCAAAAGACTAAAAAAACAAAACTACTGCTAACATCAGCATTGAAGAGGCTGGGACTGAAAAGTAACTCTAAAGTACAGGGACATACAATACATTTTGATATCCAAGAAGATTTAATTGTAAAAATTGACTGGGATTAACAGTTATCTACGTTTCACTGACAAAGCATGTATCATTGACTTTCTGAAAATTCTGGTATTTGAAGTTCTGATCTTTAGCCCGTGACAGAATTTTTCCTTTAGCACTTCTTCACTGAAGAGAGTAATGCATTTTAAGACTTCTTTCTAAATAAAAAAAACATTCTGCAAGTGTTTTTAAACATTCACTGGCTATGGATCTGTAAGCTAAATATGATTTTTCCACAGAATTGTTTATATTTGAATTACAGCGTTCCCCAAAGCCACTTCATACTTCCGATGCCCTTAAGGCTAAGGCTGTTTAATCTTATTTTGGCAATGGGTCAACTATGATGTTACAGTATGAGGCTGACCTACCGAAACAAAGGGGACCAGGTAAGACAAGTAGATCACCCCTCTCCCCTTCCGAGCTATGTGGCTTTATTTTTTCATTCTCACTTTTTTTTTTCCCCTGTTTGAAGGATGTCCTGATCTATCACAATTCAATATGAAAGTGTTATCAGGAGACCAACAAATTGTTTAAAAACAGATGACTTTATAGATTGGTCCCATCCATGGTTTATTAGGTTGTTGGGCTCTAGAAATCTTTGACATTGCTCAAGACTGCAAGAAAGTTATCGCCTTAACAGGTATCTAAAGTAAGTGTCAGTTATACACCTTCTTATTTATTACTTAGTTATTATCTTTAGTTATTACCGTCTTATTGTTGCTGTTGTGGTACTCAGCACGTAACTCCACAATCAGTTGTTTGTTATTAAATGCTGTACATGCAGATCACATTTAAGCTGCAAGCAAAGGGGCTATTTCATGCCTGGGATCCCTAAGCCACATCGTTTTACAGCTCTCTCTAAACTCCTGTTCTAAAAGCAGAGGAGAGGAGTAAATCAAAGACTATTTTACCGGGCTTTAAGCCATGGAGCTGCAGCAACAAGCTGTTGTAAGTCAGTTCTGTATGGGCTAACACATTTATATCCAGTAATATTCTCCCACAGATCCAGCATACATTCACACAGCACCTTGAAAGCCAAAAAAAGCCTTTTAGTTTTTTAAGTTCCCTTGCTTTTGCAGGTTTGATTTAAATTGAGTGGGGTCAAAAAATGATTGCCATTTTAGGAGACAATTACATTGAAAAAACCCCCACAAAGTAAATCACAAACTCACACTAATTTTTTTCCACATGGCAGAATCAGGTTAAACAGCAAAGCGGGATGACAGCTTGACGTGAGAACAAATACTTCTGATAATAACAGTAATTTGTTTTGGGATCATGTAATTCTTACTCAACCAGCAGTTAATTACCACCTTAAATCCACTCTTTTTGGGACACTTGGCACAGTATCTCCACATCCAGTGAATTTTCCGACTCGCTTCAGAACAAGTACTTATCCTATTATGTGATCATTACATTTCTCCATCCTTTTTACATCATAATACAACACACACTGCTCTTTACAAAATATATATACATGCAAAAGTTATGCAGAGAGGTGATGGTATTACCAGTCTCCTATACTCCACCCTTTGTTGGCCCTGGCTTATCAGGATCACAAAACAACCACTCATTAGCATGAATTATGGACAGGTTTAACTACAGAGACAGATGTTTTAGAATCAAAGGGAAAAAACAATAAAGACCTTTCATTTTTTTCCAGAAGAGTGATCACAGTGATTAGGGCTGCCAGCCTCCCTGTATTCCTCCCCACTCCCAGCCTTCTGCACCAGCTCTTTCCAGCTAGCTCCTTCTGCGAGGAGTGAAACTTTTGCCCCAAGAATCCTCCCAAAGAGGTCCAAGCTGGACACAGAGATGCTCAAGTAACCCCCAGGGACCAATTCTCTAATATTTATTGTCACAATAGGGCAAGCATGGGGTAACTCTCCATGCCATCTTCCAAGGACTGCATTCAAAAGACAAAGTTTAATGGAGCAGGGGATAGGAATAAGAAAAAGGCGTTATGTCGACATCGGAGTACTAAGATGTACTGGTATGTTTTTGACACTTAGGCACTTTTTTTCTATTTTAAAAAATTGGTATTCACTACTCAACTCGTAAAATGCGATATATTAAGATCCAACTGCTTTTACTATTTGACTGCTTTCCTTTTTAA